GACCCATGCTCCGAACCACGTGGTGGGCCACCGATGACGCCCTCGATTTGTCCACGCGCTGCTGCCCATAGAAGAGCCCGGGCTGCGGGTCCGTACATCCGGAGATCGAAAGCCTTGGACGTCCTGACGTCCATTCGGACCACCGTAACATCATCGGACTCCGCATAGGTGAATTCAGGTCCTTGCTCATCTCCATTGAACAAATGCACAATCCACCTCGTCCTCAACAGTCGCTTGCGCGTGGCCCGGTTGTAGGGAAGGGACTTCAAGTAGAACGCACCCGCCTCATCGGACAACAGGATCTTCTCTTCCACCCCCGCCAGGACCGCTACCTCTTCCTCCGTTGCCGCCTTGATGGGCGCCTCCTCATCCATAAGCATTCGCCGGAGGCATGCTCGCTTACCTGTGGCCACAAACTCCTCCAAGTGGTCCAGCCAAGTCGTCGGAGTTTCATCCGTCCTCAGCGTCTTGATCACTCCCTCAGTGGTCTGGGCCCTTAGCTTCTGGAGCTCCACCTCCTCAAGGTCCGAGATAAGCTGCAATGCTTCCGCTTCCCGGAGGACGGGCGTGTTGCCCACTAATTTCGTGGGAAGGAGTCCATGACGTGGATGACGGACTTGTAGCCCACGCTTTCTTGACCACTGGAGTTCGCACCCCAGAGAGCTTACCAAACTTCCCAGCGGCAGTATTGTGCCACCCTGTTCATTTTCAGCAAGCAACGTGCCGCCGCTGTTTTGTCTCAACGAGATGGTCTTCCCGTCCGCAAGCTGCACCTGAACCCTCCTCGAGGAAGTTCTTTCTTCTAGCGATTTCGGCACTCGAAAGGGGTGAGAGGCACCTGAATCAAGAAGAGCCATTCCCTGGGATTCACTGAATCCCTGCGATCTGAGCAACAACTCCAGGTCCACCACCGCGTTGTCGGTCTGGGTCTGCATTGGTGCCAACCGCTTGATCTTCGCAAGAAGCTGTTCTGCCAGCTCCCGAATCTCGCCCGTGTTCGACTGGTCCTGGAACAGAACAGTGGAGGCTGCCGACGATGTACCGCTGGAGGTGGGCTGCTGGGTAAGCGAAGGATCGAGCGTGGTGGAGGGCGACATTGTGGTCGCCGTAGAAATCGCTGCCCGGGACGGATGCTCCAGAGTCGATGTGGCTGAGGTAGAGGGCGTAGAAACCTGCGTCGTTGAGGGCATGGGGTTGTTCAGGGATGCAATCTGTGGTGTGGTCGCGGTAGGTGAAGTAGGCTCGCCTTGAGACCGTTTCTCGCTCGCGCCCTTGCTCCCACGCTTTCCCCCACTCTTCGTTGGGCATTCTGCTTGCCTGTGGGTTGTAGCCCCACACGTCCAGCGTCTGGCCTTCTTGTCCTCCTTGTTGGCAAAGGCATGCGTGAACTTGCAATTGGCGCCGCGGCGGCACCCTTCATCAGTGGACCAAAACTTGCATGGTGGTTGTTGCTTCTGTCCCTGGCCCTTCCCGGTTGGAGATGTGGACGAAGAAGGCGACCTCGGATCCACGTTGGCACCCTTCAGCTTGGCAATCTGGTTGCCGAAGGGAATCACCTGCCGGAGCTCCGCGATGACGTGGTCCGCATACGTAAGCACTGCAGACAGGGCCGGCTTGTAGGGCAGCCCCAGCTCACTCTTGGCCATGTTCAACTTAAAGCTGATGTCCTTGTTGTTCTCCGTGAGGTTCTTGATGGCCGCCTCCAGCGCAACAAGGAGCACGCTTCCGTCGGGCAGGGAGACTCCCATTTCAGCTGCTCGGCCAATAAGCTTCTTCCACTTGTGGAGCGCGGCAATCATTTCCACAACGTTGTTTTGAGGCTGAATGTGCTCAATCTGCTTGATCAGGCTGGCCCTCTCGCTCGCGCCTCCAGGGGCGTAGATTGTGAAGAGCTTGAAAAGGCAGCTCTTGACTTTGTCGATCCGCAGCATGGTGATCTCCGCCTTGATCGAGGAGTTCATTGTGGCTAAGAGCAGCGCCATCACTCGCCTTTCCAGGCGAACCCACTTCTCTCCATCCACCGCCTCATCGTTGCCGACAGTGATGGAGAGCCCCTTCAGGGGGGTCTCGGCCTGGAACTTGTAGTACGTCATCTTCGCCAGTTCCAAGTTCCCAAGCCACCAGTTGGTGGCCTTGTCCGTGATGGATCCGATCAACTGGCCCGCCTCGTAGATCCATTCCAAGAACATCACAGCACTGGAGTCCTGGTAGGGCTCGGGGAGTACAGGCAACGTGATGTTGCCCTTGAGCAGCTCGGGGTCCTGGAAGTCCTTTTTGAGCTGCAGCTGTTGCAACTGCTGGATGCCCTGGGCCAGCAGATCCATTGACGCCATCGGACTCTTGTCCTCCGCGCTCTCCTGGCCACCAGTCCCTGCCCTCCCTGAAGGAGCGGCTTCAGAAGCTCCCCTGGGCTTTCCTGCAACATCTTCACCGTTGCCACCCTCGAGGTTGACTCCTGACGGACTTGTGCCCCTGGAGCGTGGAACCTGCCCATCTCGTTGAACCGCCTGATCACTGGGTTCCCGCCGCGAGGGTACCGGAAGACCAGGAGGAGCCCGGAGACGCTCGCCTCCGCTTTCACTTTCAGCACGAAGATCCCCTCGCAGATGGGTGCCCTGGCCCCCAGCTTCCCCAAGGTTTGTCCTCACATCGCTTGGTACACCCTGGGTACTTCCCGCTGTAGACCTCGCTCCACCGCCTGCTCTCTCCGCGCCCGCATCGATCATCACCATCAGGAGCTGCTTTAGCTCCGCGTTCTCGTTCTGCAGCTCATTCACTTTTGTGTCGCGGCTCTGCATTGCAAGCTGCACCGCCTTACGCACTTCCTCCTGGACGACCTCGGGTTGCAAGGATCCCGTCGACGACTGGTCACCATGGATCTCGCCGTGCCCAGGCTGCATTAACCTCGGTGGTTGTTGTTCGGGGCGGGGGTTCTCAGGAGTAGTAAAGGTCGGTGTAGCCAAGGACCAGGTTGGAGACTGAGAGTACCATGAAGTAGGAGAGGCTGTAGGGTGTGGGCGCATACGGTCCAGACCACGTTGAACCATATTCCGAATCCTGGCAAACCAAACCATCTGGTCACCTGTCGCATCGGAAATCTCACCCGCCTCCTTTGTGGTCATGGACTCGACACCTTCAGAACCTGTAGATCCGATGACCCTTGACGCCCGAGCATGCAAAGCCGCTACCAGAGCGCTCCTCTGCTCAGCCAGCTGGTTCAAAGCCATCTCACTTCCACTGAGGACACCCGTGGTGGACACCTGCGCTGGAGCCGCTGCCGCTGTGGTCCTGGGCTGCCGCTGCGAAGTAGTAGGTGCTTCCACCATCGGTGTGGGTGGGGTACTGATGTCATAATGTTGTGTTGTAGCTGCAGGTAGGGCTGGTATGTCTCGCTGCTGCTGCTGCAGTTGGTGATGGCCTTGCCTGCTACGGAGCCCCAAAGCCTCACCCTGAAACCTTCGTACATTCGCGCCCGGTCCGGTTGCAGCGTTCTGTCCAGTCGTAGCGTTCGCGCCCGATCCAGTTGCAGTATTCAGTCCAATCATCGCGTTCGCGCCTGATCCGGTTGCAGCGTCCTGTCCAGTCGTAGCGTTCGCGCCTGATCCGGTTGCAGCGTCCTGTCCAGTCGTAGCGTTCGCGCCCGATCCGGTTTCACCAACCACACTGCACGCTGCCCCTTGAAAGGGAGCAGCTATTCCCAAACCACTGCCACGTGGTTAATCTGCATCTGCATCATGCGAACCCGTCGGAACAGTCCTTCCTTCAGGGGGAAGTGGATCTTGAAAACCAACCACACCATTCAGAAGAACCTGCCCTTCAGCCATAGTTCGATTCCCGCCGTGGTCCTCATGGGGAAACGGAGGGCCAGCTCCACCGGCGTCCACTCCTCCATAAGTTGGCACACGGCCCGCCATGCTGTCTCGTAGCCCTCCAAGCGTGGTGCTTGGGCTCATAACCTGTGGAGCTTGCAGTTCCGGGGAGGTAGTCAATCGTCAAAGGTTGGAACAGGCAAAGCGGACAGCCATGGCATCGAATTGAAGGTTATTTTTCCACAACACGCCGGGAACCTCAGTAGTCGTCGACCTGCTTGGTTGTACAAAATGCAGGGACGTTACTTCCACATGCTATCGACCTGCTGGGGTGTACAAAGGGCAGGGTCGTAGCTTCAGTTCACTATACAAATCCTGACAAGAGCTTCGTGTTTGGCAACGACACTCCGGTCTTCAGCCATAGCACTCCGGAATCCAGACATAGCACTCCGGAATCAAAACATAGCACTCCGGAATCAAGACAGAGCTGCGGATTCTCATCGTCATATTCTTATTGTTTTGTAGTGCTCAGGATCCTCTGGGGTTCTCGGTGCATTAGGGTGTTGGGTGTAGGGTTCAGGGCTCAGGGAAGTGTAGGGTTTAGGTTTTAGGGTTCAGGGAAGTGTAGGGTTTAGGTTTTAGGGTTCAGGGAAGTTTAGGGTCTAGGGTTTAGGGTTCAGGGAAGTTTAGGGTTTAGGGTTTAGGGTTCAGGGAAGTTTAGGGTTGGTAGTGTGCGGTAGAGTAGCAACTGCTGTGTAATGTAGAAGCCTAAGCCATCAACCTTTTACTGCAGCACACAAAACCTTGGGTTCCTGAGCATCCATGCAAGATGCAATGCCCCAAAGCCCTATTGTGGCCCATTGTGGCTCGTGTACTACAGAGTTTTTGTTTGGCCTTCCTACTCCTTCTGCCAAAGCAACGGCATTTCGTTTCGTCAAGGCAATAATTGGTATTGCTGTGGCTTAGACGCTGCCAGCACTATCCTACTGCCTACTGCATCTTACTTTGCTGGACATCGTCGCAGCCGTGATAGACATTATCCAGCTTATGCTGTCGTCTCGCAGCAACACAATCCTCGTTGATGGCCCTGCTGCTTAGCTGGCAAGCGACTAGCTATACCGAGCAATGTGTTGATTGGCTGCGAAGTTGACATCATGAATCATGTAGTTTGCCGTCGTATCTCATGCTAAGGCTGTTGACGCTGCTTTTCAGTCGGAAGGGTGGGCAAATCGTCGTGGAGCAAGACGTGGAGCAGGCATGCCGCTCAGTGGTGGAAAAGGAGAGAGAGTACACTTTGTAATATATGGGCCACATGGGACTGTTTCCATATATCAATTTGCAGGGAGGTCCACCGCAGATAAGTCTCTGTCTGATGCGAGGCTGAGCCATACTGCCACTGAAGTTGTGCAAAGGTTTGATTTGGCTGTAGAATAGACAGGCTGCCATGCAAGCATGCAAACCAAAGTGCGTGAGGAATCAGCCGACAAAAGGTGATGCAATGAACCCACGAAGCATAAGCTTGCCCCTCGCTGTAACATCGTGATTGTTATACACCAATTTGTGATGCGAGCACAATCGCCGAAACGGGATCCATGCTTTCGATACGTACGTCGCAGAACTTGATTGTCTGATGTTACCCTAACCCCGCAGGTGCCTACTATATAGTGCCCTAGGGGCTCTAGTACCCTTCTCCAAGACTCGGTCACGACACGAGCACCTGAATCCCTGTGTGGTCTCGTACGCCCAAAGCCTAAAACCCTGTAAAACCCTGACACCTTAAAACCTTAAACCCCAAACCGCAGGTAGTCCATACCACTAACCGAAAGAAAGGACACCCCGAAACAGAAAGAACATGAATCCTGGAATGCAAAGTAAGGCGAAGCCTACCTGCGCGGCCGCCCATGGAACTCGGCACATGCTGCGGAGTACCTTGTCCGGGCTGTATGACTTCAAAGGGTACTATAAGGGTCTCCGTCACCGCAAACCCTAAACCCTAAACCCTAAACCCTAAACCGTATAAGCCCTAAACCCCCCTAAACCCTAAACCCTAAACCCTATAAACCCTAAACCCTAAACCCCCCTAAACCCTAAACCCTAAACCCTATAAGCCCTAAACTAAGAAAGCCCCAGGGCTTCTCAAGCTGGGCCCCAAGGCTCTGCAATGACCCGAGGCTCATCGTCATGCGCGGCCCGCCGGGAGTGGGCAAGTCCACGCGCGCGCGGGAGATCTTGTCGGAAAGGCCCAATCTGGGATGCAAGCACAGGCCCTAAAGTAGTTCTTTTTTAGGGTTACCTTATAGGATTCTATATCTGAGCCCCAAAACGGAACTACTTTAGGGCCTATGGGCAAGCATTGCTGTTTCTTTCTGCTCTGTGTTTGGCATTGGTTGTCATTATTGTTGTGGTAGTTGAAAATGACCTGTGTTCACACTTATCTCTCACACGCAGCGTCATTGTTGTTGTGAGCATTGCAGAAGTGGCAGTGGTAGCAGCATGTAGTCACAGTAAGTGGGAGTCGTCGTCATCGTCGTTGTAGTTGTAGCCATCTAGGTAGTTTTGGAAACGAGGGTCCCTTCTTAGGTCCCCAATATAGTACGGCACCCTTATGAGAAGGACCCTACAATGGACCCTAATTTAGAGAGCTACCCATAAAGTACCCTATAGAAACCCTTCTAGATCCCCTTAAGGAGCCCCTAAACACAACTTAATTTAGAGTGGTATGAGAGAGTCGAGAGTCAAACTCGGGCTCGGAGTCAGGAAAGTCCCCACTCCCCCTAAAGGGGCGATCTGAATGTCTTCTTTGCCTCGGGTTTAGGGTTTAATGTTTAGGGTTTGTAAGGGTTTAATTGGTTCAATGATTAGGGTTTAGGGTTTAATGTTTAGTGTTTAGGGTTTAGTTGGTTTAATGTTTAGAGTTTATGGTTTAATCTTTAGGGTTCAGGGTTATAGGGTTCAGGGTTAGGTGAAACTTCGGGCTTCTAAGTTGCCCCCGGCTCCCTCGGCCTGGGAGGCTGGGTTTAGACATCGCTCCTTCCCTCGCGCCGCTGGGCGGAAGATTGGAGGGTTTGAGGGTTTAGGGTTTAGGGTTTAGGGTTTAGGGTTTAGGGGTTTAGGGTTTAGGGTTTAGGGATGCATCCTCGCGTATTCGGAGGAGGATTTTTGTAAGGTGGCCACAAGAGCTTCAGTTTACCACTCCTCTTGCTGTCATTGACGGTTGTGTTACCATGGCTCCCCAGATTCACTTGTATGATGCTTGCCGTTTCCTCTGCACCGAGCTCAAACATATCTTTCAGTCCGCGATAGAAGACATCTGCGGCGCTGGGGATGTTTGCACTCGATCCGTATCACTCAGGGTCCATCAGTAGAGCAACCTGGCAAGAACTCCGAGCCAAATAGAAAGACTGTGACAAGCCACCATCAGTGTACCCTTGAACTCTTTAGCTTTAGCGCTTAGATGCTGAGTCCTGAGCCCTATGTCATGTAAGCTGCCACCCGCCATACTTTTTGCCGCACACACCCTAACCCTAACCCCTATAGGCCCCATAGCGCAAAACCCCCCAGCCCTAAAGACACTACCTGTAGTCTCCATTGTAGCTCCTTTTTGGAGATACCTTATAAAGTTCTTAATATATAACAGGTTAAACCAAAAAAAGGAACTACAATGGAGGCTATAGGTATACCGTTGAGGCAGCAGCTGCTGCATATTTGCTCTACGGACGACTTTTTCACGAAGTTCCAAGGGGCTGGGCAGGAGACCCCCGAAGGGACTGGTAGCGGTGTGCTGTTCGGGTTTGGGATGTAAGGTGCTTTAGGGCTTAGGAGCTGTTTGGGACTTTGGGACCTGTCGGATAGAGTCTGCATAGATTCCCAGAGGTGTGTGTGTGTGGTGGGCCCTATAGCCGTAGAGGTTATGTCAGCAGTAAGTACTGCCCTTGAGTTTAGCACGATATCTCATGTCACGCTACATGGGTCGGGTTAGATTCGATCATCTGCAGTGTACCAAAGTGTGGCAGCGTGACCCACACGCTTGCCTGCATGCACGGAGTAGATACGATACGTTGCGAATATGCTCATGTAAACATATATACATAGATTCAGTCATACGTACATTCGTACATACGTACATACATCCATACATACATAATTACGTGTGCAAGTCCGAACATGTGCGACAGGTCTACACCTACGACAAGTCCAAGCTTGGCCGCAATCATGCCAAGAATCAGGACACCGGAGTCCGTGTGAGTGCAAGGGACAGTCGAAGAGGTCAGAGAGAGGATAGGACTATGCACGCCATTGCGCAGAAGAGTGCTTCGTATCATTCGGGGGGATGAGCTTTGCTGCTTTGCTTAACACGGGCTTGCGTGGCCTCCAGGTAGCTCACATCTAAGGCCCAATGTTTTGTCTCAAGTATTCGCCAAGCACGGACTTTTTTTGGTTTTCAGGATTAAGCTACCCATAGGCCCTAAAGTAGTTCCTTTTTAGGGTTACCTTATAGGATTCTATATATGAACCCCAAAAAGGAACTACTTTAGGGCCTATGGGTAAGACTTCCTCGGGGTCCCCATGAACTTCTCCCGTTGAGTGCTGGTTCGTTGGACAATCGAGCGCCAGGAACGCGTGAAGATCCTCACCAGACTGGGTGTAACGCCCATTCTCGTCGACAACACGAACATGTCCAGAAAGGACGGAGTTTCATGTATCAGCTTTGCTTCATGGCAAAATGCAATTAGTTGTATGCGACTCGGGCACAGAGTTTGTTCGTTTGACCTGTGCAGAACATGTATGTGCGGATGTTCTACTAGAAATTTCCGTACGCACGAAGACACGGACATGTGTTGTGCATCTCTGTGTGTATGTGTTCGTTTGTTTGTTTGTGTATGTGTGCTGGTTGTCTTGTTTGTGAGTGTGTATGTGTATGTTTGTGCTTGTGTGGGTGGGTGCACGTGTGCGTGGATGATCGCCTATGCTTACACATAATACGTAGGTGTCTGCATATATATATATGCATATAATGTGTGCTATGTACTTGCATACATACATTTGCATTTTGGTGTCTCTTGACATGCTCGCTTTTGCTTGAGTGGTTTCTGGGTTCCAAGGATTCAGGGATTGGTGGTTTCAGGGGTCAGTCCTGATGATTCGGAGGAGATGTCGCCCTACCTCCGCCTGGCTCAGGAAGCTGGGTACAGGACGCAGATTGTGCATCAACGGCATGGAATGACTGGTACCATACTCGGTTGCTTGAAAGCTTGGGGCCTCATCCGGATCTTGAGTAGACAAGCCAAACAGCTGCATCTTGCCTCGATTGCTGCGAACCTTCGCATATTTGCATCCCTGTCCTTTTTCCAGCCCCAGATAGCCCGGAATCCCACAGCTCTCTCTATCTCTCTCTCTCTCTCTTGTGTTTCTCTCTGTCTCTTTCTTTAACAGTATATCAGCATATGTATATATATATATATATGTGTATATATATATATATTTATATGTATACTGAACCTGGATGTGTAAATGCATGCATGCAGAAGCTGGCATAAACCCGAGGTGGAGCCCAGCGAGCTGCAGAAGGACTGGAAGGACCTGGCCATGCTTCTCGAGAGGAACCGCAGACGCCAGGCCACAGGGTTTAGGGTTTAAGGGTTTAGGGTTTAAAGGTTTAGGGTTTAGGGGTTTAGGGTTTAGGGTGATCGGGATATGGGTTTGGGGTTGTAGGGATTTATAGGGTTGAGTCACGATAGGGGTCTAGGGTCAGAGGGTTATAGGGATGGAGAGGGTTAGGTTCTTATAGGGGTTTAGGGTTCAATTTTAAGGCTTTAGGGATTTCTAGGGTTAGGTTACTATGAGGTTTTAAGGTTGTAGGGTTATGGGGATATGCGTCAGGGTTTTGGGTCCAATCGACAAGCTTCTGCAGTAAGTTTCTTCCGAAAGCCGAGGAAGAATGTCCATGAACACCAGGTAGCAGACATTCTGAATGAGTCTGCAGTCCGAATTTAATACCAAGCCCAAGTTTGGGGCTGCAGGCCCTTGGGCTTAGCGCTCAAGGTGGAGGTTCAGTGTCCTCTCAGTTTAGGGTTTAGGGTTTAGGGAGTCCTCTCAACTTTCCAGTACCAAGTTGGGGTTTAGGGTTTAGGGTAGGCTTGATGCTCGTCTCGCGTCCTTCATGTCCAACATCCTGCGGCCCTCACTCGCAAGACCTGGGCTACTCCCTACCCTCACGGTCGAGCACGTTCTCTGCACCCCGAAACTCACAGTATCCGCATGATTCTTCGAGAGTTTCTTCAAATTCAGAAAGGAGGAGTGAGCTGTGAAGGATGACTCTAATTTAGAGTAGGGTTTAGGGTTTAGGGTTTTAGTAAAACCCTAAACCCTAAACCCCAGGATCACCTCTTCAAGTGAAGAGTGGGGACTGATTTCCATGTCTTCCGGATCCAAGTCTGCAAAGCTGCGCTTCGGAGCCTACTGCTGTAATATAGGGGCCCTGAATAATTACCTATATTATTTTTGGGGGTTCCTTCGTATAATTGTACTATACAGGACCCCAAAACCTTATTCGATTTAATAAGGCCCCTAGATGAGCTAGTCGGATGCTTATTTCAAGGAGGGGTCTCCTCATTTGGAAGGAACCCTTCTCGAGTCTCGACGGCTTGCTCTGAGCTCCCAGATCTTCCAAAAGTCTTTCATGAAGGAATACACCTGGAATCACACCAGGGATCCTACCACGACGCATGGTATATTCCTGAGTTACCTAAACCACCCGAAAGTAGCTAGAATAATAGCCCAGCACCTATACAACTGCGATTATTCTAAATATTTTTGGGGTCCAGGTAGGGGAGTTGGGAAGGTTTGGGTCTCAAGGAGCCAAGTATTGGTACCATCCCCAAACCGATGCACAGCGAACAGACGATGCCAGACCACGCTACTTCGCACCCTAATCCCTAAACCCTATTAGGATTTAGGGGTTTAGGGTTTATAGGGGTTTAGGATTGAACCCCAGACGCAAAATAGACCCTAAACCCGGAAGCCGTTGAACCCCCTAACCCTCTATGTAAGCCTAATCGGCCCATCCGCAACCTCTGGGCCAGGACATTGGGAAGGTGGTCAGCGAGGTGCTGGTAAGGGGAGGGTCTGAAAGACATCGATGGAGTCGTCCTCGGCAGAGGGGCGTAACACACACATATATAACATCTATACCACCTACCTACTTACCTACCTACCTACCTGCCTACCTACCTACCTCCCTACCTACCTACCTACCTACCTACCTACCTATCTATCTACCGATCTCTCTCTCATATATATATATATATATATGTACACACATATATAGAGGGAGAGAGCTATATAGATAGATAGATAGACAGATAGATAGATAGATAGCTAGGTAGATAGATAGATAGATAGACAGATAGATAGATAGATAGATAGATATATACAGAGAGAGAGAGAGGTGGATAGATAGATAGATAGACAGATAGATAGATAGATAGATAGATAGATAGATCGATAGATAGATAGATAGCTAGGTAGATAGATAGATACACAAATAGATAGATAGCTAGGTAGGTAGATAGATAGATAGATAGAGGGGCCCCTAAATATTACGATTGTTAAAAGCACGCGTGAAGGAATCCGGTAGTGCTTTTGTTGGCAACTGGATGCTACTAATTAGCTTGTCGGACTGCGCCTTTATTGAAACCACGGTACCAGAGTGGAACTTTGCTAGCTGATCGTACTCTAGACTTCTTGAGCTTACCATGCTTGCATTGGAACTGGCACACCCTCAACCGCGAAGCACATGTCAGACCTCTCGCGTTCAGAGCTAAGGCTTTCTGTGCAAGAACTCCGTAAATGTATAAGACCATTTACGGTGAACCATATAAGAAGCCGAATGGAACCCTAGAGAAACCCTTCTTTGAGCGGAACATGGGCATCGCACATTTGGTGCACCGATGGTTACGTTTCCCCCCGAAACCCTTGAGGGATTAGGGCTTAGGGCCCGGAATCCTGCACCCTAAACCAGCTCTAGAATGCTTCCATGCAGCAAAACCCTATGCAGATGCTTGACTTCGTATCACAAGCCTGAATTGACCAGCATGCCATGTAGCTCTTCGCAGGCAGAAAAGCATCTAGCGGTTGGGAGGCACATGTGGAGGTCCGCTATCTCAGCTTCAACACTGTCTGTCTGAATTGTTTAGGATTGGTTTTTCGTGTCGGAGCTAACGGAGTTGATAGATGACAATTCTTTAGAATCTCGCATTAAACATGCCGTATTATGGCATATTATAACAGGTCCAAGCTGGTTATCTCGGCCCTGTCTGTCGAGCGAACTCCAGGCAGTCCTGAGAAAGATGCTCAGCCGCTACGAGGAGCCATTGCATCGGGAAAGGTTCCGCTTTTGCTAGTTTCTGTCTATCTATACATATATACATATATATATATATATATATGTATATACCTATATACATATGTATACAATAATGTATCAATGAGCATAACAATGTGTGTATATATATATACACACATACACAAATGTATGTGTATATATATATATATATGTAGTGAGAGAGAGATGGACGTTGATTGTTTGTTTAGACCGTCATCCACAGTTTGTCGAATCTTACTGTCGGAATAATAGAGGGACGTAAGGCTGCCAATTGGAATGAATCATTGGGTCTTGCCAGCGCGCAGGAGAGCCTAACCCTCATACCGAGACGGAGAACTGACTGTCTGGAGCGATCTCCGGAACCATGCCCCCTTTCGTTTGACCATTATCTTTTGGTCTCTGTCAATCAGTCAGACGAAATTCAGTAGGTACGACTGCTTAGTTAAGATTTGTGGGCCGGGGGCATCGAACAGCAAACTGTCCTTGCAGGAGCTCGATCTCGCCCGTCGCTCGAGCACAGGAGCTGTGGCATCCAAGAAGGCCTGTTAAGGTTCACTGTGAGCTTTGGTTTTAGGTTGGATGTCGAGCATAGCATCAGCCCTCAAGGATAGCCGTTGAACCAGTGATGCTGACAGTTAGAATATCCAGACCACCTCGTCATGCGATCCCAACACGATTCAGAGTAGCACTCAGCAGAGTGGCAAGGCCACAAGCCCGGCCATGCGTGTTGTTTCGTCGTTTACATGCGCACCTACATGCATACATACGTGCATACATACTTGCATACATGCACACATGCACACATACACAAACCCCTGCTTGCATGCGGACTTGTTCACATATAATATAGACAGGCCGCTACATAGGTAACCACGTACATACACATGCACGCAGGCACACAGGCATGCATGCATGCATGTGTGCATGTGCTACTGCTGCTACTGCTACTACGTTCATCACCCACAAGTCTTGCGAGACACGAGCAGAGTTAGTCTTGTCACTATCATGGTTCGTACCCGTGTGGGTAGAAGTTGAAATCCGTGGTTCGATTGACCGCGCATGGACCGTCTACCAGAAACCCTGAACCCAAACTGGTTTAGGGTTGGGGGCTTAGGGCCTAAACCCTAAACCCTAAACCCTAACCTAGGGTGTAGGGCCGCCATTGCACACTGCCTCTGGGAGGGAGCTGCCTCATCTGCTGCGCCTCGGGCCAGGGCCATACCGCAGTATTTCGGAGCCCTGCCTCCGCAATTGATTGAGGCTTTGATCTGACGGCTGGGGCCAAGGATATAGGGCCTCGGAAGCCAATTTTCAGAGGTTTATGGCCCAGGACGTGGGGTCTGAATCGCTGAAGGGCTAAGGGAAATGTGGTACGACTTTGCTGTACTACGTTTTCAGGACGTAAAGGAAACACATGAATTGAGTTGTTTGATGTCGCTGTTGCAAGGCAGTTGCCGCGCATGCAGGGCACCGGAAGAGAGTGCCAAGCAGTGTTGAAGTCAGGTTTTCGGTCGGTCCCTCTGTGCGAAATTGAAACTTCATGGCCTATGTACTAGAAACGTCATGGCCGAAGTACCAGAAGTACGGTCAAGCTGCATAGGTGTAGGTATGAGCACATGCCGCAAAAAGCATGTCGAAAGGACTTCATGGCAATCTTTTGTGTTCCAAATGTTTGAGATTTTACCATCAAGGCTTTTCATGCATGAGTGGCAGTGAAGCAGCATCGACAAAGTGCACGGTCCTAGGCGTCAATTTGGAGAGTGCTCTCCGATGCAACGGCGACCGGATCGGATTGCCCCTTGGTTCCGAAAGCAAGGCGAAGTAGTAATACCGTCGCTTTCCATACCATCAGGCTTCGATTGACAACCTTCCCGGCGCAACGGCCATCATCATCATCATCTTCATCTTCATCATCTTCATCATCATCTTCATAATTATCATCGTCAGCGTCTTCTTCGCCATCGCCATAGTCTGTATTCAGTTTTATATCCTCGAACTCATGGATGAGCAACAATTTTCGTTTCTATAACTTCCATTATCAGCAAAATCAGACGTTTGTTGTTTTGCAATCGCGTGCCTTTGCGAGTGTCCGCACTTCTGCATAGATTCTGGATTGAGTTCGGGACATTGCCCGCAGGCAGGTTCGTTAAATCGTGCATCTATAGTCTTTACCTTTCAGGATGGGCTGGACTGAGAGAGCGTTTTTTCTTTTGTTCTTTCTGGTGCAGCTGCACCATGTCAACCGCAAGCTCTAGACCGATGAGGCTGTTTTTGGATGGGACCAGGCTTTCAGACCTTGTTGGATCTGCATTCCTGGTTGTTTTGGACATAGGGGTCTCAAGGTTCGCGGCCTTCAGTCTTTGCTCACTCAACGCACAAGATGTAGTAGCATCTTCCTACGTAGATTTAGATACTCTCGACGATCCCTCGGGCCCAGAGGCCTTGAGCCACCAGAGGGCCCGGAGCCTCCAGCGCCCTGGGTGGGAGTCAGACTTGAAAGAGGACAGCCTTCCTTCCAGGGGTGAGCCCTTTCTAATTAGAGACCTAGATGAGAACAGTTTGGGGGGCGGTGCAGCCCCGACGTGCTTCACGCCCGAGCACGCCCGCGACCTCACATGACACACCCTAAACGGCCCTAGCACGCTATCTATCTATCTATCTATCTATCTATCTAGCTATCTATCTATCTATATATATACTTGAACAAACAAACAAAAATACATACAAGCAAGCATACAACGAATTGTGTTTGTGTGTGTATATATATATATACACACACGGGTGTCTCAGCCTTTAAGCCAAGGGCGTGGGCTCCTATGGTGGCTGCTCTAAAGTCTGTGACTTGAATTTATGGCCTTCCGATGCCGATTTCCTCTTGCAGTCTGCCTGGGCTTGGGTTGACGGATTTGGGTACTATTCTAGGACATTTTCAGGTGGGTAGTTCCCGTTTTTGGACCCTTGTAGAAGCCCTATATACCCTAAACTCCCCACCTGTAGTTTCCTTTAAACTATAGGGCTTGGGTTTAAAGTTTGGGGCAGACGCAGCAGGACGTAAGTTGAAGGCTTTAGGGTACCAGGGCTTTAGGCTAGAGTTTGGGGCAAAAGCAGCAGGGAAAGGTAAGAAAGCCTCGGCTTCTAGGAAGTTTCGGCTGAATTGAGAGACATCAGAGATATTCAGCTGCTTTCTTGCGAGTCCCGAGGTTTGGATTCCTGCTCCCCAAACGCGGGGATGGGTCTCTGTCGTTTCCAGTCAAGTGGTCTTGAGGTAAGGTGGTCTGGGTACCCAGAGAATCCAATATCCCTTAATTAAGGTATATACCTTAAATCATATTAAGGATCCTAGTATAATTTAAGGAATATTCCTTAATTGAGGAATTTTGGAGGCTCTGGGTGGTAGAAGAGCGTACTGCAGAGGTTTCTTCGAGGTCAGACGCTGACTAACTTGCGTGAACCCCTAAACCCTGAACCGCAAACCCAAGCCACCTATGTGATACACAGCCTGGGGATCAGCTCCGGTACCGCAGCTGCAGTGGAGCCCAGGATGTGGCAAAAGAAGCGCTGGAAGTCCGACGCTATTCCATCCCAGTGCCTGGTCGAGAGTTTAGGGTTTAGGGTTTAGGGGGGAGCACGTTGTCGATGCTGTCTCGTAGACAGACATAGTGTTATCGGAACTGCGAGCCATGCAAGGATAAATTATGGCAAATCGCATTCGTGGCTGCGGTGATGACTTCGAACCGAGAACTCTGTAAGTTGCAAGCACGACCACCAAGAACATGCCCAATCCTACGGATGGCTTGACTCTGAGTGCTCACAGTCTCCTCATTCCATGGCGGAAACTTCGTAACCTTTTCGAACTCCAAAGCTGTTGCTCGAAGCTTTTCTACACAAGGCCCCGCTCCACGTGACTACCTTCCACGCCTCGGACTTCCATTCCGACGAGGTGTCCGCCGCCGCCCTGGAGGCCATCATCTATCCGCTGTAATCTTTTGGCTTAGGAAACTTAGGATTTTCTCTTCGTATTCAACTAACAGGTAGTTTTCGATTCGGCTCATCAGTAACACTTCAACATTGATACTAGTGCTACAGTGAGAGTCCTGGGTACAACAGGTCGAGATCACCGGTTTATGTCCGGCAGTTCGTCTTGCCACGACAGAAAAAGGCGTTTGCCACATGTTCCGGACAGTTTTGCTACTAGCTCAACCAACCCTCGATGCGACACGAAGACACTGAACCCTAAACTCGAATCACCCATCCCATATACCATATATAAACAGAGACAGAACGAAGCACAAACTAAAGTTGAAACCCTACAAGGGGACTTCGCAAGGGAGATGGTTCGACATCATCTTGGGACCGTTCACCTCGGAGTGAGGGTCTCGCAACTGTCAATTCAGGATTAACTGTAGCTGCTGATTGATGAAGGAGTTTGTGTACCAAGAAGCATCCTAAGCAAACGAACAGACAGAGCCGCTAGCTGCTGCCTGCGCGGGCCGATTTTTCGCGGAACCTCGCAAGGAATGGACGTAGGCAAAATTATTGAGGATGCCTTATTAATAAGATCGTATTCTTAGGATTACCCCACCTACTTTATCCTCATCCCAACTGTTGAATCCGCTCAAGACTTGCAGGAGTCTTTCGCTCTGGAGGGGACCGAGACGCGCCTTTGCAGGGTTATGTAGAGACAAGCATGCAAACGCAGGCAGGCATGTATGTATGTACGTACGTAGGCATGTATGTATGTATGTATGTATGTATGTATGTATGTATGTATGTATGTAGGTGTGCACATAGATACGTACGTAGGTAGGCAGGCAGGCAGGTGGGTGGGTAGGTAGGTAGCTAGNNAGCTAGGTAGCTAGGTAGCTAGGTAAGTATGATTATGTATGTGTGTATGTAGGTAGGTAGACAGGTAGCTAGCTAGGTATGCCTGTATGCATGAATGTAGGTATGAGTGTGTGTGTATATATATATATACGTGTGTGTGTATATATATATATATATCTACATGTGTCTATGTACATACACTTATATATATATATATATGCTGAAGCGATGAAGAGAGAGAACGAGAGAGAGAGAGAGAGAAAGAGTGTGTGAGTGTGTGTGCTTGCGTTTTTTCGTTTGTGTGTCATGCGTTGTGAAACCAACGGCGATCACCAATCACTCCAAACTTGGTAACGGTTTACCGATGTATTTTGACAAAGCCAGACAACTTTTAGATTGTCGATAGGGTGGAATGCAGCTACTCTCCGAAAGTGATCGTCTAAAAGGCTCAAACGGCTGAACTGTAAGTGTTCGGCTATATTCTTGGCGGAAGTAATTAGGGTGCACGTCCTCCACTCCCGGAGTCGCAGATGAACAGAAAGAGCTATCGAAGCAAAGCGTCGTAATTAAAAGATTGGTTATCCTTCATGAGACAAATCAACATGTAGTATCTGATGCACGTACTGAGACACCGACATCTTCAAAGCAAGCAGAGGAGCATAATCACAAGTCAAAAGCATTGCATTTGTCATGTCCTGCTTTCTTCTCATGCCTGTCCTCATCCCCAGTTCTGCAATACTCCTTGTAAGTGTCTCTTTAGTCAGGTAGTGTTCGCCGCAGTCGTGCCTCGTGTGTGACGAGAAGTTGAAGAGTTCAGCATGAACTGGGAGAGCAGCTCCGGCAGATCCTGAGCTGCTGTAGCCGCCAAAAGCTCAATCTTGCCCTTTTCCGCGCAAGATGCGCTTCTAGGATTAGAGGACATAAGGTGTCCATTCTGCCGCTGTGAGTTCTGATAACTGATAACTTCCACAAACGCCTAAGGGCGCTAACCGTGGGGAGCATTGTTTTTGCTCCCCATGGTCTCGCCTGTGCTGCACCTCGACTCAAGAGGTCTTGGGGAAGAGGGTTTGCTCTATTTTGTTTGCATCGTGGGTCCGTATGACGGGATCCCCAAGAAGCAGATTCCGGATCTTGAGGACAGGATGTCTTTTCTTCTGGAGATATAAGGCCTGAAGTTGTCGGCTAGGGACCTCCTCTCCATAATCGCGTTCCGCACAAGCGGTTGTTAATATATGAGTCTAGATTATATAGCGGTTCCTGAAAGGTCGAACTACCAGACGGCCGTTTACGGTGGGTTTAACCGAGGTTGTCGAAGAGGCTGTTCCAGCACTGGCTGTGCCACGCGGCATCCTGGATGCAACTGCAAGCTGCCATTTCTCTTTCCCTAAACCCTGACCTAAACCCTGAACCCCCAAACCCCTAAACCCATAAACCATAGACCCTAGCCTTACTCCTTTCAAACTCGGGTGCATTCCGGGCCAAATGCTCCCCTGACAATAGATACTATCTTAAAGTGGGGGGTTCTTAATAATCGCAGCAAGCTATGAAGTGAAATCCGGACGCTCCTTCAGTGGGGGTTGAACGGTTTAGCGTTTGTCAGCATACAGTGAACGAGGACGCGAGTGTTGTTCTGCCTCTCTGCATCCCAGGCAAACTTCTTCACATAACGCCGCTCGGCTTCGGAGGGTCAACCAAGGGACTAAAGGAGGGACCCTTAAAGGGACCCTCGGGGTTATATATCGGCTTCATGAGACTATATAGGGGGTGTATAAGGGTTCTATAGGGTATTTGGATTAGGGGTGGGCTTTATAAGACTAGATAAGTGGTCTATAAGGGTTATATAGGGTATTTGGATTAGGGGTCCCTTAAGTCAACTATCTGACGTGTCACTTCGACCTCGCTGCAGCTCTTGCCGGAGAGCTCAGGCTGGCGACACGTCCTCCTTGGCATCCTGTCGACTCCAACGCCTTGCTAAAGGTGACATTAGGGGTTTAGGGTTTAGGGACATAGTTGGATTCGCATGGGTTCTTCTGCAAGTGTTGACGGCGATGAACTCTGCATGACTCCATGTGTCATTCGTGTTCCGCTCTGCTGCGGCTGCCCTGTATTTCAGAGAAAGAGCTTATGACACGGCTTCGTCACACTTTCAATGGCATCGCGGATGTACAGGGTTGTTCACAGTATAAGCCTTAACACATACACACACACACACACAGAGACACACCACTGATCACCGCAGTTGGTGGAACCCTGAGATCTCGAAACAGAACTTGTGTAGCATAAGGAGTCTGCCTAAAAACCGGAAGATGGAGTCCTTGCTTCGAAGCTGAGGTCGCGCCAGTACATCAGGGTTGGCTGGTAGAGATTTATACTAGGACTACATCATTATAGGGTTGGCTGGGGTGTAAATTTCGTAGGGATTTACATTAGGACAAAATATACTATAGCACGACTACTTCTTCAGACTTCGCCCTGTTTCCCACCACCTTTCCACCCCCCCCCCCCCTCCCGTTCGCCCAGACACTCTTCGAAGGCGATCGTCGCAGAGCTTCGGAAGAAAGGCCTGGCTGTGCAGCTGCGAGAGGAGGAGGAGACCCATCGTTCGAATCTGCCTCAGCCTGCCTGTGTTGGTCAAAAAGTGTGGATTGTAAAACCCTAAACCCTAAACCCTAAACCCTAAACCCTAAACCCTAAACCCTAAACCCTAAACCCTAAACCCTAAACCCTACCCGACTGTCGCTGTTCGGTATCAGCATGTGCTCTTAGCCTGCCGAT